TACGTAAACTAATTATAAATGTATATAATTTGTAAAGCCATTGTTTTTATAGACCTGGTAACACCGATGGGTACTTGGAAAAATGCTGCATGTTTTGATTCAAGGTTTTTTTTTTTTTGTGAAATAAATATATGAAGGAATTAAATTGAATGTATCTATTTGATTTTATTTTTCAATGAATAGCATCCTAACTGTGTCGTATTGCACAAGAGACATTTCTGAGTTCTCTTTAGTTCTTGCTGTTCCGATGGATGTGCAGGATTTTCTATTGCACTTAAAAATAAAGGCCACAGTGAGTAAAAATGTGACAGGAGCAAAAAAACAAAAAAAAAAGTCCCAGAAACTAGTTGGAGTTCAGAGGGTTAAAACAAACAAACAACTAACTGCACGTACAAATGTAATTAGACTGCGTGGTTATCATGCCAGTTACAATAAAGAATATTTAAAAAAAAACACATTTGTTTTGAGTCTGAGCGGAACAACGTCCTCATGTTATAAACCTGATAAAAAGCAAACTGAGCACTTACTGTTGAATGATCTCGAAAACAAGCGATCGTCGAGCGCTGTGAGACGAAACAGAGACACGAGGATGAGTGAACGAAGGAAAACAACCACAAACCAGATTCAGACTAAAACTGCAGATCGCCTGAACGACAAACTGAGCAGCTCTGACTCTACCTGAAGACACGACGTCCGCAAACACCAGGGCGTTGCCGGGTCTCTTCAGGGTTCGCTGCTCTTTGTCCACCAGCTTGTCCATCGAGGACATGATTTTGTCCACGGCCGCCTCCTGTCCTGCCGGGACCCTGAACTCGGACAGGTAGTAGGCGATGACGCTGCCTTCACTGGGAGCAAAGAAACGAGGATTAAACGGAATAAAACGTAACGTCACTGTGTTCAGAAGTTGGACAAATACATGTGGTGTTTATGTTAACTGTAAAAAAACAAAGCAGCCTTAGTCTACTAAAGCAGCTACAATAATTTAGGTTTTTGGGGAAGTTTCTTTGTGTCGATTATTTATTTTTTCTAAACTTTGGTTCCAAACTCCTCATTGCAGGAATTAACATGCTGAATCATACGACTTTTGGGGCACAGAATAAAAAAAAAAAAAGTTCAAAATCTTGCTATTTTAACAACAGAAACTCAGATTTATCAGTTAAATGTGTTTTAAACTGCAGTGCTATTAGATCCAAAGTACATGCACACATGAACAACTGGTAGAAGTAATAATAAAAAAGGTAAAATGCGTTGGTTTTATGTTAAACACAGTAAATTCTAAAAACAAAAAAACAAAAAACAGTATTAGTTGACGAAAGCAGCTAGGATAATTTAAGTTTTTATTAACTTTTTGTGTGATTTTTATTTATCAGTTAATATTTGTGGTGAATAACTCATTCTTTCTTGGCTCTAAAGTCCAAACTGCCCCTTTTGCCTTCATATTGATACAACAAGATGAAATAAAATGCTGAGAGTGAAAACTTGCATTCAAAATCTTGCTCAGAAAAATGTACATTCAGACTTTAAAACAACCGCTCGCCCTTGCTAAAAAAAAATAATAAAAAGGAATAAAATGCTCACAGCTTTACCTGAAAGCCTGAATGGTAGAACCCACGTAGTATTTGGCCAGCTGTGGACTTTTGGAATAGACGGCTTTGAGCTGAAAGAGACGAGAGTTAAATCGCATCGGTTTGAAAACACACATGATGAATGCGTTTCTGAGGCCCGAGCCGCCGTCTCACCTGTGCAGCCACCTGCTTGGCCAGCGCCTTGAACTCGGAGCTGTTGGAGTTCTCGTATGCGTCTTCGAACACCTGGTTGGTGATGCGCATGGAGCCGCTGTACATCTTCTTGACCCGGATATCTTTACGAACTTCAGGAATCAAACAGATAAAAGTGATTACAGAGAGACTCCAGCTGCAGGAGTTCACTTCTGTTATTTAAGCTGTTGTTGGCTTTTCATCTTTGTTCACTTCTGTTTGTCTCTGTTTTAGTCACTCAGGTCTTTTATTCTCTCTTTCAAGGTTAAACAAACTTGAATTAAGACGCATTCAGGTGCATCTTGTCTGTAAAACATTCAAAACCTTTTGTTCTCACATGTTTTTATCAAAAGGAACCTGAATGTAATTTTTTTTTTTCACTCCTGCTTGTTCAAACTCATCAGAAAGTTTTTAAATGTCTTTAAATGTGGAGCAAATAATTACTTTTACAAACATTTGGGGCAGTTTTTGGAACATTTTCTCTTCAGCTACTGTTTAGTCTGTCAAACAATTCTAAACTTCACCTTAATTAATAGTTTTTTGATGCATATTTGACACCAGAAATTCCAACAAATGGAGGATTATGGATTGTAACGCACAACACCAACAGACCCCATATTATGCATTTATGGATTATGTTTTATCCACCTGCATGTAATCATATATGCAGGTGGATAAATAATGCAAACACTCGCTGTTAAGCTCTTCAGTCAACCTTATATTTACTCTAAGAGTCGTTTTCTTTTCACTCCGTCTGTAGGAGTCTGAAACGGTCACAAAACCCAAAAAATAAAACATTAACCTCCTACAGAAACAACCGAAGGCACACTGCAGGGTCTGTGCAAAAACCAAAATGCATTTACTTCATAATAAGTAACAAAAATGAAGAACGACCAAACATTTATGTTGTGTTGGACGAATACACAAATATGGAAATAATACTTATTACTAATTAATTTTGTTCTTTTCTTTTAAAATCAATTTCAGTATTTTATTTTACTGATTATGTATTTTGTTCTTGTTTATTTATATATATATATATGTTTCATATACAATTCATTTTTATTATATCTTTGATAGAGGATGATCCCCTCATTCAGCTCATTAGAAAAACATCACACAAATGTGCAAGTTATTGCCGAAAACGACCTTTATCAAAGAAAGTATTGGTCATTTTCAATGCATGTATGTGTGAAATATTCAAATGTTTCATTTTAATGTTGTACAAATCCTACAATTCTGCCTTGGATTACTTTTGTAGGAGACTTGCATTTAAGTTTTTGGAGTTAAAACAGTTTTTAACTCGTGCAAAGAGCCTTTAAAGATGGAATAAACCCAGCATATATATATATAAGCATCCACAAAGCACCTGTTTGCACCATCACCTTCACCGTTGTGATTAAAGTTCTGTTTCATTATTGTGAATTGTACGTAGGATTGCGTATTCAAGGGAGGGACACTTACAGTGGAAATGCCAGACCAGCAGCCCGGTCATGAGCGCAACGACGGCAGCAAAGATCACGACTCCGATCACAGCCCCGACCTTTCCCGGACCCTTCTTCTTCTCGAGCTTTTTGTTGTCTGACGCCGGCAGGAACTGGACGGCAGTGTCCCAGTCTTTGTCCTGGAGGGCAAATAAATGAATGAAAAGAGCTGAAGATATTAATTCCAACCCTGAAGGACGAAAACCTTTGTGGACGCGGCTGCGCCTTTGTTGACGCAGTAGAAAGTGTTTGTTTGTACAGAGTGATATTAAAAGTTTCTGTTTTGGTCTCTGCACGCAGATAATCGGCTGGAGATAAGAGACGGCTGCAGGTAGGTACTTGTGCATTTGAGGAATGTCAAGGCCTGAAGTGACCTACAAACGCAGGGAGTGTGCGACATTTTATCTGGAATATGACATAACGCTGAACTCTTTAAGGATCCGTTTGTGACCAGAGGGGGAAAGATATCTGCACAGAACGTCAATGAAAAGAGCTGCTCGTAGAAGGAACTAGAAGTTTCAGTGTGTTGTCGTGAAGAATTAGGAGGAAACTTTCTGCATGAGTCACGTCCCTGTGGTTGCCTTTAAGAGAGAGGGGGGGGAGGGAGGACAAAGGTTTCACCCTGTAAAATCCAGTCAAACCTGCTGGGAGCAAAAAAACCACCAACACACACAACAAGTTTCTGTGAGTGCTCGCTGTTGTATGAAAAATGCTTTACAGGAAAGCAAAAGAGATGAGAAAGGGTTTGGGATGCTCTAAAATAACACGTTTACAAAAGTGAAGACGACCTGCAGTGCAAAACCATGACACCATTCACTGCTTTGTGATACTCAGGCCTGAATGACAACAAGAAACTACACTTCAGGGCACATTTGTCCTGCTTAATTATCCATTTCAAAGCTCATTGTGGAGTCTTGATTTGGAAAATTACACACATTTTTATCTGATACTACTATTTACTGGCCAAAAAAGTCATTTTTTTCTGCCAATCTGTCATTTTCCTTACGTTAAATGGACAAAATGTAATAAAATAAACACCTAAATGTGAATTATTTCCACTCGTCTGAAGAAAAACATCTTTTCACCTTAAGATATCTTTTTCTTTTGCTTTTTTTCTAAGATTCTAAGCATTGAAAATGAAAGAATGTCAGCTGAAGCTCGATTATTAACGAGATGTATTCTGTTTTTTCTGTTTATTACATGCATTTGGCGGCTCAGATGTTTTTAGAGTAAAAGTTTAGAGTCTAAATTAAGACAACGTGTAAAAAAACAACCCTTCTCCTTATTAACGAGATGAGGTTTTCTTGAATATTCATATTTTATGAAGCCCAGAAGTGTAAGAAACTCTTCTCGGTGGTTTTATCAGCATCCTTATGATAAAAAATCAGTTACTGGAGCCTTTAACTGGTTCTTCTTGTGGACAACATCCCTGCAAATGTTCACAAACACCGTGCAGAGATGATAGAATGATATAAAATAATGCACAGCTCCTCAGATCAAACCCTCTGAGGCTGAAGGGCGTTTTTCTCACATGACGCCTGCTTTTTCATCACCACACCGGGATGTTGTGGAGTAATTTCTCCTGAATGTTACTTCCACAGAGGCCAAGGCAAGTTGCAACAAGGTGAAGGCACATGGAGGAATTCAGGCGTGTTTTCATGTCACATATCCACAAGAAGACACTATTAGAATCGAAGCATTTTCTGCAGGTCACTTAGTACTTTACATTAATGGGTAATTATGTTCCTCCTCCTCTTGTATCCTCTGACTTTCAATTAAACTTCTCTGTGTGCAAGATATCAAACATTACAGATCGTGCAGCCTCCAGAACAGGAACGAGGAGTGGAAAAGTTTGCCCAAAAAGTGCCCAAAAACGAGCCTCTTGGCGCCGCTTCTAATCAGAACACGAGCAGACGTTTGGCAAAGACATGAAAAGCTGCTGGATTCCTGTTTGTCTTTAGGCAAAGCAGCGTGATGGCGATAAGAGACAAACCCAGATACTGCGGCTGCAGACAGACACAAAGCTGTCAGCAGTGTGGAATGGAAACACAGATGACCTACCTGTGCGCGATCATTCACCTGTTCTGTCTCACATTTACGCAACAAGGAAAGTCAGACATCTGAGCAGAATGAGGACTCACCTGCTTGGGGGTGTACTTCAGCCCACTGTTCATGTAATCCATCAGGACTCTGGACTAAAGTGACAAAATAAGAAATAAAAAAACACCGGATCCTCTTCTCCTCTCCTGGTTGATTTCTTTGAGCACACTTGGCTGTTTTCTTGGTCAACCTGCGGCCCGGAGGTGCGTCCTTGTCAACCGAATCCCACCTGCGAGCAAAAAAAACTCTCCAACAAACAGAAAAAGTCTTAAAAAATAAAAATAAAAAACCCGAGATGCTCACAAATGTCTCCCTGACTGGAATGTGTGTGTGACTACGACGGAGGGAGAAGCAGAAACTGCAGGCACACAAAGTCTTTTTCCGGGAGCTTCAGGTTTCTGAGGGCGAGGCTCCGCCCACATGCGCACCTGTGGGCTTCCTGTTTACCTGCACAGGTGAGCGAATGTTAAATCCTGCCTGATACCAACCACTTATATCGACTTATTTTTTATCCTGCTCACAATTTTAAGTGGAGTTAAAATAGAAAAGCTCATTTTATTTATCCCAGCACTGATTGGTTGACAGTTTCATGTGACCTATTTTTAGTATCAGTCATGTGACGTCACGTACCTGTATCAAAGATGACTCACCTGTGTTGACTCACATCCATATTTTTTTTTTAACCATCCATGTAATGAGCCATAAGTTTCATGTTGACCAAAGTGGGTCTTCCCCCAAAACACTTAAAGCTGTGATTAAATGAATCAACATTTCCAGTTTGTAGAATGTTTCTCAGTCCACAGGTGAAGTTATTGAACTAAAAACAGGACAATCTTTACAAATATCCCTAAAAACTTTAATACATAAGTTAATTAATCTAGACACACATTCCCTTAAATAATGTAGAGTTTAAGCCATCAGCTGATTAACTGATAATTTTAAAAAAAACTATTTTATTAATCAATTGAAGCCTGTTTTTTCTAAGAAAATACAAATTCTAAATACGAATGCATCTCTAAAATATAAATCAGAAAAATACTATAATTTTTTTCCAATGTGAAAATGTTATATATTCTAGACTTATTGCAATAAAGTGAATATTTCTATATTGCAAATCCTTTATTTGTTACATTTTAGGACATTCTGTAATATTCTGAGATACTGAATTTCAGTATTTCTTTTTTTTTTTTAGCTTTAAGCAACAATCATCAAAATTAAAACTAAACAGGATTGAAATATTTCACTTTAATGAATATAGAACTAGACAATCAGGAAGAGACTACAGGTGGATAGGGTGCCATTCTTATGAACCTTCTCCTTCTGCTTCCTTATGCATAGATGATTATTTTTTTGTATTACAAGTTGAGTGTAATTTAAAACAAACAAACAAAAATCTCATCTAAATTTGCATTAATTTGAATTCATTTCAGCACATAAATCAGAAACTAGTCAAGAAAGCCCAAAATACTATCAGCTGCCTGAATAAAAAACTTATTTATCACTTTTTAAGGAATTAAATATTTTATAAATCAGGCTGTGATGGACATGTGAACTAACTTCTCTAAAAAACTTTTAAAACTTTGCTGTAGAAAGCACTGCTGAAGGGAAGATTTCTTGCTCAAGTTTTTGGAAAAAAACCACAAAAACTTCACTTATTTTAAAACTTTATCAATTTTTAATTGAAACCTTGAAACCACTGTTTACTGGCATAAAACCAAACTAACAGATACCACAGTGGAATTTGTTAGAATTAGAAAACAGCTCTGTTGTAATAAACATTAAAGCTGTTTTCTTTCTAAATCGCACATTTCAGCGAATACCACAAAATTAGAATATTGTGAAAATGTTCTTTTTGTTCCATCAGTTATCTAAGAAAGAGAAATTTTAATATATTCTGGACTCATGACATTGAAAAAAAAGTTTGATATTTCAAGCTTCCTCTAGTTTTGATTTTGATTATTACCTATAGCTTATGACAGCGGTCACATTTCTAGGAATAACATTTTTTATAAATCAGATTGTGAATGATTTTAAGACACACTTCGATGTAAAAAGCTTCCAAATATTGATGGAAATCCGACAGCAAAGTTTTTGTAAACATGCATTACTGAAGTGAAGATTTCTGGCTGAGAGAAAAAGCTCATGTTTTTTAATTAAAGTCGCTATTGCTGGTAAAAACAAACAAACAAACAAACAAAACAACTAATAGATATCACATGAAGACAATTATTTTTTTTCCCTGTAACATGTTTTCTGTATTTTTTTATATGTTTAAGTAAAATCTCAATAAATATGTCAATTTTAATCAATGCAAAATGGGAAAATATAATTAAATTAAACACCTAAGTGTGATTTTTTCCCCACTTGTCTGAAAGAAGACGTGTTATAAAAGCAAAATATCTTTTTTTCTTTTCTACTTGGATTGTCTTACCTTTAGATAATATTTTTCTAAGATTCTAGGAACAAATTTAATTGATAACAAAAACAGTTGAAGCACTTATTAATGCCAGATTAATCATTTAAAGGCGATATTCATCCATCCATCCATTAAAAAAACCCGACACGTCCATCTGTAAGTTGTGAGTTTATTGATGTGTATCCCCCTTGTAACCATAAATCTGTTTCCATTGGTGTCAATCAAATGTTTTTAAATCACTAATATGTATATTATATTAGTTCCCAGTCCCCTCCCACAATCAAGCAGGCAGTTACAAGATCGAAGCTGTTTGGGTGCATAGTGAGACAGTCACATACAGAGATACTGTCACAGGAAGAGAAAAAATAGAAAACAAGAAAACAAACTTAAAAATATATATCATATCATTTCATATAAGAACAATGCACACCACAGGTAATCCTCTGGAAAAAAGCCATGATTGCAACATCAACTATACAGGCATACAAAGACAATACTAAGATAGAGAGAGATAGAGATAGATGGAGAGAAAGAGAGAGAGAGAGAGAGAGAGAGAAAAGGGGGATTCTAGGACTCAGTTTACTTGTTTGTGTCGTTCTCTACCTGTAAAAATACACAAGTTTTGCTTAATTTTTTCTTCAGAAACCAGCTCTCCAAGCCTCGTCTTTCTGTGTGTCTCTGTCTGCCTGCACAGCCCTCCAGCTCCCAAGTGTCTCCGGGTGACTTCGATCCAGGGCCGGACCGAGGTTTTTCTTGGAGGGGGTGGGGGGTCCGAATCCGCAAAATCCAGGAAATAAAAAAAAAAAACTGTTCCAATCCTCAAATATATTTGGGTTTGAGAAAAACTAGTCAGAATCAGCTGCACACCCTCAGGTTTGAATTTTGCGCCTCTGGTCCGGCCCTGTGTTTCTACATCTGACCAGCAAAAACCAGCTGTGTGTGTGTGTGTGTGTGTGTGTGTACGTCATCCCCCGAATTAATTGATTAATCTACTTTTGTTTTCAAACAGCCCCCCAACCCCCTCCAAAAAAAACACCACACTTTCATCATCGACGCTACATTAAAATCCTCAAGGGAACCTGCCAGATACATAGTATGGAAAAAAAGCTTCCACAATACATTCAACTATGTAACACACGTCAATAAGTATTTAATCTACTGGTTTACACAAGCTTCCCTACCGATACAAAGGTTGTGTTTGTGTGTGTAGGAGGGGATATATAGCATCACATTCACTTAGTAAGGGTTCAGAGTAGGTCTTTTTGTGTGTGTGTGTGTGTGGTGTTTGAGCTGGGAGGGCCTGTGCACACACACCTTTCCAACAGCGCGCCTGCAAACACGTCGAGCTAAAGAACCCTTAAACCAACAATCTTCCCTGGGAAAAAAAGGTGGAATAAAAACATCTACTCTTATATATATATATTTAAATCGTATATGTATATTTTGTCTGTTATCATAACAAAGAACAGAAAGTAAATAAGTCATGATTTCATTTTTTTTTTTGTTTTTTTTTTCTCATTTGTTGTCGTTTCACTAAACATTTGTTGTTGTTTTTTTTTTATAATCGGTACAAAGAACCTTCATATACAAGCAATCTATTGAGAGGAGAAATTAAAACACCAATTTGTTTTTTTTTTGAGAAAACCATCAGAAACTGCATTAAATATGACACTCGCGTGATGGGGAAACAAAAACGTGTCACGGGATTCTGGTTTTTGATGATGGCCAGTCAAAAAAATAAAATAAAATTTTGTTTGATTTGCTTTTTACTTTCCAAAAACAAACAACAACGAAAAAAAAAGAAAGTCTGAAGAAATGTTATACATCTTGATCTGAGATAGCTGTATTGATAATTACAGATAAATCTGCAGAATCACATTTTCCATTAATGCAAATTGGCAGATACATCACCTTCTCAAAAGAAACATGATCAAAAAGAGCTCTATAGTACAATAGTAGCAGTAGTAGAAGTAGTAGCATTATTTAAGGATTGTTTCCGAACAAACCAGTAAATGGAGTTTTGGATGTATGCAAATGATTTTTTTCTTTTTTCTTTTTTAACAATAGCATCATGTGTTATTGGTCAGTAGTATGTTCCCCCTCGGTTGCCCGTCCTCGGTCTGGCTCCGCAGCGCCCCCTCCCTGTAGGCTCCGGTTAGATCTGCATCTGCTCCAGGTATTTGTAGGTGGGGTTCTCGTAGCCGTGGTTCTGCATCTTGTTCAGGTGTCGCTCCTCCGGTGTCAGCATGGGGTCCACCTGCGAGACGGAGGAATAAAAAAATAAGTCACCTCAGCAGGGACGGCATGCAAACGCTGCAGAGACGAGGATCTGATTTGCATTTACTCGATATTTACATGTCACCTGATGATTTAATATAAATCTGACGCTTGGAATGAGACGGGCAGCAGTTCATGATGGATTTTATTTATTTATAACTCTTCTTAGTACTCATTTTATTAATTAATTTTGCTATTTAGTCACTTGTTTACACATTTTAGTCTATTCAATGTATAGTTTATTACTTTATCTGTAATATTCTTTTATGTTTTTATACATTTTGACTTGTAGTTTGCCCTTCACCTATCTATCTTTATTTTAATAATATACATATTTAGTTCAATTTAATTTATCTTATTTAATTTAATTA